CTAACTGAAGGTAGTAACTAAGTGATTGTAACCTATCCACCGCTGCCCACTGGATGGGGGAGGGGGGGGTGGTGGTGTATGTGTGCAGGACAAACATATCTCCACATATGTCAGTTGCTTAATTTAAAAACTGTGGTTGATCTCGAACCCAATGATGGTGTGACGATGTCTTGAATTTTGTAACTAGCTCAAGATTGTAACTTGCTTAGCTAAATGAATTGTGGGGTTCAGTCCCTGAAGACACGCACATCCTGGAAGTCAGGACATTCATCAAGGATATGCACGACCATAAGAGACAATGCAGTTTGGACAAGAGTTAGCAGAGCGGCGCTCCATTAAGTGCCCGTGAGTTAAACATGTATACCAGTGCATAATCTCGCCAGCGTCGTTTCCTACCGCCAGTTACGGTGGTAGGAGGAAGGCCATGGGGACATGCTACCCTTAAGACCACACAGTTTGTTACCAGAAATAGAAGACCAATGGGCCCGGATTGAGAAATGAATAACTGGGTAGAAGTCGAAATATGGAACACCTTTGCAGGAAATGGAACCAGTGCTGATAGCCTCCTTTGCGGCAGCATAATCATACAGAAAGCATAAACTTTCTGAAAGCAAAGTAGCATAGACACACCTCATTTGTGCACCTGAAAGGACCATGCCTAAATCTCCAGTATCTGTTGCAAAAGCGAGGAGAGGGAATGTACTTGTGAACGTAGCATCTGGCACCAGCAAGATTGACAGATGAAAGGGACCTATGTACTATAAAGTGACCTTCACAACGCAACGAGGCTGATGACTGACCAGAGGGGGCTGAGTGAATGTGTCTATCTGGAGGATTGATTGACCTTGGGTCTCTTAAGGAAATATTTATCATCCTCGTGGCAGTCATTCGGTTCCCTATCACCAGTCGAAACATGGTGTAGAAGAACAGTGCCATTTAACTGGGCATTTTTTTGAGATCCGAAGAGGGCTCTCTCCTATGCAGGACAACGAAGCCAAGCAACGACACACTTACCAGTACGGGTGGGGTTAAAAGTGACAAAGGTATCCACCGAATCAATGAGGTGTTTATGGATAAATGAATCGGGATGAGTAGGATTAACATGGTTTGAGATTAAAATACTTGGTCGATATAGCAGGACCAAAAAAATCTTGTAAAGTATTAGATTAGAGAGGAATGAGAGTGCAGAGGTGAGGCCCCGAACACCCCCAAGTAAGAGAGGGGGTAAAAGGTGCAGTCGTTACGAGAGACCGAGTTACTCCAGGTGATGAGGTGGTCACCACTGGAGGCTTGGGGCTCAACCCTGCCACAAAGGTGGGAGGGGAAAGCAGTAAGGAGACAGTAAGGAGGTGGGAGACAGTGAGAGTCAAAGCAGCAGCTTGGTCAGGGCCCAACGTAGCAGGAGTTGCAGAACCCGGCCTTCTAACACAGTCCGATGTGGGGGGGGGGGGGGGCCTGGTTGCCCACCCCATGAGTCTGAGAACTTAAATGAGGGCCAGAGAATGGCATAAAAACTAAAAAGTACAAAATTTTTTCCACAACTAAGCCTCCATACCCACCATGGAGCCACAATTAGAGGATCGGACACCCAACAAAACTGGGTTCCCCAGTGGAGTAACGTGGATATACACCCTGCAATCACCACCTTAAGAACCGTCAGTCTGTTGAGATCAGGCTCGGCAACAAAGGCACGGTTTGAAAATAAAAGCGTCCCCTTACTTGACAGTCAGGTACCACAGTACTACAGGTGAGAGAGTGCCTTCCCAAACACGCGCCATCAAAACGGAAGACGTTGGAAAGAATATTCAAGAATGGCAAAAAGTCAGCAGGAAAGAAGAAATGGGAAGGAAAAATGAAACGTGAGGAAGAGGAAAAGCAGCCAGCAAAATTTATGAAGGTGGCAGTAGAAGCATAAGGACTCAAAAGGACAGAGGACAGGTTGTCCCATAGAGCATCACACTCCAGCAGCCGCCCACCAAACCCCCCTCACGACGACAATGGGCTGGAGAGGTAGGGGGAGGGGGGTCAATGCTATATAATTATATGTAGGTTTCTTAGTAGTAAATAAAACCAAGTCTTATCCCAAGATATAAGTGTATTAAATATTGCACAAAGAATTTCTTTGTGGGTGCCTACAGCTCTAAAAATTGTAGGTTCTAAAAATACAGCATAACAATTGATCTTTAGCCAAATATTTTGCATGGACTTAATTCAAGAATAATTAGATCCACTGTACTATACCTTATTGCAACACATTAGACATATGTGATTAAGATACATTATCATTTAAACCAGATATAGTTACTGAAACTTCTTCCAACCTACAATCTAGACAGTTGCTGAAGGCTAAGCTAACAACTATACATCAGGTACATTATGTTTCGAGCAGTGCTGGGTAAATCACAACTTGGCTTCATGAGTCAAATAAATGAGGATTCATATAATAATTATTCATACAATTATGTCCTTAAATCACCTTATTTCCATACGCTAGTGGATGTAGGAGCATTTTTTTTTTTTTTGCATACATAGAAAGTTGGGCAAGTTTCCATCCACTTGATACCTCAGTTAACCAAGTAAGTAGGTACCTGGGAGTTGGGCAACCATTGTAGGTTGCATCCTGGAAAAGGTCATCAGTAATTGGCCTAGGGAACACCAATAATCCTAACAGGCTTCCTGTCCCCGACTGTGGGAAATTTTTTAAGATGAACCATAACCACTGGCAAAAACCTTGCTAGTCTCATTATGGAATGACCCCCCCCCCCAAAAAAAAAAAAAAATAAAAATAAAAATATAAGCTATCAGTAAAAATTTTATGACCAAGAAAATATAACTATCAGCAGTTAATACTAGTATATCAGATAATCAAAATCATTAACTTTTGCACGTGTGTGTAAAAAATGCCTATCAAAGTTCTAATCAGAGTTTTACAAAATGCAAAGCAAAATGAATTCAGTAGTCTTTATTACAAATTCTATGCATTATGCTATTTTTCTTGACTGATAAATGGTATAACCTAAAAGGTTAGATTTCTCAAGAAAAAAATACACCAGCATTGTGATGAAATGCCAATTTCTGGGTGAGCCCCATGAAGCTACTAAGCTATCATGCCAAGCTACTAGGTGCCACCAGTCGCGGAGTTCTTTTCTGCCTTCCTGGGACCAGAGACAGAATCCCAGCTCCTCTAGAGAAGTGCAGGGAGCAGTGGCACTATGATAAAATTATATGTGAATTTTAATAATGTCTGCACCACCAGGGAAACCCACAAAGTCAGCAAAACACAACAGAAAAGAATCCATCAATGCCTCAAAATCTCCAAAAGAACTCCCCCCAACAATGTAAATAAATGATTGAAAATTCATGAAACTACCACAAGCTTGTTCGCTCCACCTCTTCATCTCATTTGGGGGGACGAGGGAGGCAGACTGGGTCAGATGGGTGCTCCACCCTTGGTTCTATGATGAAAAAAACACCCCAACTTCCTTGGGGGAGGCAGGATTTCAGGGAGCCATTGATGCTCACCCAGAAACTGCTGTTTCATTGCATTCAATGCTAATTTTCTAGGGGAAGCCCCTTATGGCTCCCATTTTTCTAATTTTTTTTTTAAATTTTGTCAAACAGAACACAAATAGTAAGTCAACCAAATAAAATAGTCCAAGCACAGTTAAAAGCTCCGTACCTCAGGGTACAGTCCTAGATTACACAAAAATCAGCATGAAAATTACCTCTGCTGATGACATTGAAAAACTACAAGCAGATACTAATAGCTTTTGACTGGGCAGCAGAAAGTAATACGTTTAACAGTGATAAATTCCAGGTACTAAGGTACGATAAAAATGACCTCAAACATAACAGGGTACAAAACACAATCAAATCTGCCCATAGTAGGAAAACAGCATGTAAAGGATTTGGGAATAACGTCTAACCTAACGTTTAGGGAGCATAACCAAGCAATTATTGCATTAGCCAGAAAAATGAAAGAATGGATTACAAGAACTTTCAAATCCAGGGATCCCATCACAATCGTTGTACTATTCAAGTCACTTGCGGTCCCATCTTGAGTACTGCTCAACACTCGCATCACCCTTCAAAGCAGGAGAGATTGCTGAAATAGAGGGAATACAGGGAACATATACAGCATATGTATATGCAGACACAATAAAGCATCTAAATTATTGGTAGCCTCTCAAAGTGCACTCACTAAAAAAAAAAAGACGAGAGATATGTCAAATAATATACACAGGGAAAATACTGGGGGGTCATGGCCCAAATCTATATAGGAAAATAATATCCTAGAATGAAACGATATGGAAGAAAATGCAGAAGAGAACCAATAAAGAGCAGGGGTGCCATAGGTACAATCAGAGAACACCGTATAAACATCATAAGTCCACTGTTGTTCAACATACTCCCAGCAAGTATAGGAAATATTGCCAGTAAAAAAGTGGACATCCTCAAGAGAAAACTAGTTTTCTTCAAGAAGTGCCAGACCAACTGGGCTGTGGTGAACATGTGGGCCTGTTGGACCAAGCTCTCAGACATCAAGCCTGGCTTGGGAGTAGATAAACTCTCAGAACCCCATCAAGCGTGTAAGCTATAGGGTATCCAACTGGGCACACAACCTAGACTGCTGTAAAACAGAAACTTCAAGCACATAGCAGTCGCAGCCAGAAAACCCTGAATGTGACCAGAAGGGTTTGTAAGGAGAGTAACAGGCAGAGAACAAGTCTAATATGACTTGGGGTCAAAGATGTCACCAACCCAGCAGGAAGCATAGTGGAGGCAAAAGGAATGAGCATCACTACATGACACAGATGATGCACAACCCTTGAACTTGCACATTGTGAGTGTGGGTTTAGTGGGAATATCCAGTGAACCACCAAATCCGCAAGGGATTTTCAGTCTGCAGGGAATGACCCTGCAGGAAGCCCAGGCACTGGCATTGCTATGCTGTTACTCCAAAATAGGAAACAAGTCCCCCAAGAAGGGAAGTGTGTTTCAAAATACGAATGGGGAAAAAAAAAAATTGTATGGACAATGGAACAGGTCTAAGAAGGCCAACCCAGCTTACCTAAGACTGAGAAGGCAGACCTCGGCATGCCTTGGTTAGGTCGTGTGAACCTCAGTGCACCCCAACCAGCCAAAAATTGTTCCTGGCCCCAGGCAAGACAGAAAATTAAAACTAATGGGCTTACCCAGGCGAGGACCACCATAAATAAGGAAGCGAATTCTGAACACTCCAGGAAAGAGTGCTCAGGTAGTGCAAGGGCAGAGCTAAGGAGTACACAGGGAAGAAATCCCTGTGCCCATGCAGCTCCAAGTGCCCTATACTCCTGGCTCTCACAGCATGTATGTTGAAGCAACCACAAAGGCAAAAACCCACCATTTAGCTGAAACAGAACATGGATGCCAAAAGAATAGAGAAGGCACTACATTAGGTAGTGGTGTGGTGGAGGCAGACCATACTCCATACAGTTTCAAATGTAACCATGATGGGCTCAAGAACCTGAAGATTAGTTGACTGACAGTTGAGAGGTGGGATCAAAGAGCCAAAGCTCAACCCCTGCAAACAAAACTAGCACCGTCTATCTACCATCAACAAAGAGCTAAGGATGGAACAGCCAGCTGACCTGGTCTGCCTCCCTTCTCCCCCAAAATGAGAGGTGAGGCAAGGTGAATGAGCTTATCTCGATGATTTCGGGGCTTTTAGTGTCCCCGCGGCCCGGTCCTCGACCAGGCCTCCATCCCCAGGAAGCAGCCCGTGACAGCTGACTAACACCCAGGTACCTATTTTACTGCTAGGTAACAGGTGCATAGGGTGAAAGAAACTCTGCCCATTGTTTCTCGCCGGTATCCGGGACCACAAGTCTAGCGTGCTGTCCGCTCGGCTCCCTAGAGCTTGCAATAGTTTCATAAATTTTGAATAGTTTTACATTGCTGGGGGGAGTTCTTTTAGTGATTTTGAGGTCATGCGATCTTAGTTTGAGGCATCTATCTTTTCTTATAACAGGCAGTGGTCTTGCTTTATTTTTCTGACATTGTGGGTGCTTCCATGGTGGTGAAGGACATGATTAAAATTCACAGATAATTTCATCACAGTGCCACTGCTCCCTATGCCTCCCTAGAGGGGGTCAGGGGGGTTGCTTTGATCTCCAGTAGGCCGAAAAAACTCCACAATTGATGGCATCTAGTAGTTTGGTATTATATCAACATAGTAGGTTTAGTGAGCCACAAGGAACTCCCCAAGAAAACTAACACAATGCATTTATATTTAAAAATAATATATAAATTACAACTACAAAATGGCTTCCGGAACTGAAAAACAAGTTACGAGGATAGACTAGAGGTGTTAAACATGCCAAACTAGAAGATAGAAGAGGTGTGATATGATCACCACTTACAACATACTAACAGGAATCGTCCAAATTGACAAAAGAATGCCTGAAATCAGCAACTTCACAAACAAGAGGACACAGATTCACACTAAGGAAACAAAGGTGCCGAAAAAATACTAGTTTTCATTTGCAAACAGATTGGTAGATGGTTGGAACAAGTTAAGTGAGAAGGTGGAAGAGGCCAAAACCATCAGTAGTTTCAAAACGTTATATGACAGAGTGCTGGGAAGACAGGACACCATGAGTGTAGCTCTCGTCCTGTAATCACATTTAGGTGTGGTTACAGGATTATTGAGTACAGGACACAATTTTGTTTAATAATAAAAATAACGCAATACCAACATAAAAAAGAATATTCATGATAATTAATCAGAAATCCCATACAGGTCATTCAATGAAATGAGCACAACCATATAATTTAACTGTTAGATGCACATTCATACACTAAAATGTAACAAAACCTCTGGAACAATGATTTATAGTAATATTTGTTCAAAATCAGTACAGTACACAATTTTTTTATTTCTACCACAAGAAATAATGAATTTTACTTTAAACAGTTTTAGGTTGCAAATGTCCTGTCATGTTTAAATAAAAATCACCTTTACACCAGCTGTATGCTTTTTCTAAATTGTAAAAGTGTACATCTTAAAACAACATATTAATTCCAGTGCTGAGTTGAAATCTGCCTTAGAATTTTTTTCTGTGCAAGTATTGTGCTCAGAACCAATTTTCTGAAAAATACTAAGTTTTGTTATTGTCAATGTTTCTAAAAAGCAGTTACATCTCTTTTACCCTAACCTACTATAAGTGCCAGAAATGTATATTGAAAGATATATATTTTATTACCCCTAATAATACATCATCTTAGATGTTATGATATTAACAAACCACTGCAACTGTCAGCAAAAGTTCTTGTTAACTGATTAACCAAATACTTTGGCAAAGAAGCAATAAGGTGCTACAATCCTTTCATACTGTACCTTAACTTCTATGGCAGTGTTATGCAACATGGGTATTTCCCACCCAATACTCTTTTATACAAATATACAAGATTCTAAATATAAAACTCCTATTATATGATGGTCACCTAACCTCAATTATGTAATGTTGATAAACTGAACAAAATGTATAGAAAAGGTAGTAACAAACAACTTCATGTATTATGGAATAGTCATATAAACTATAGATAAAGAATGTGATAAAAATATGGAAAATACCTATTCTTGAAATATAGTCTGATAACAAGCTACCATAATCTTATGTCCAACACAAAAACTAAACATGCACAGTGGAACAGGGTTTTAATAACTTTACCAATCTACTTTTGTTAATACCTTTCTCTTATAAATTCAACAAGCAGTAAGTTATCTTCACCAGTACAGCCAAAATGCCCCACACATATATAACCACATTAAATTCTTATCCAGCAATATCCCAAATTAACTTAAATATACTGACTGTACTGTAAAGACATTGATACATTACATGACTTAATTGAATATAATTTCACTCAAGCTTAAATGACTATACTGTATAGCTTTCCCTGAATTCTAATTAATTTAAATACACCTTCACTGTTTCAATTTTGATTTAAACTAAATGGGTTGATTTCACCTTTAATTTATCAATACAGTATTTACATAACAATCATCCCTAAATTCACAATGCAATTCATATTCATAGTAAATGTGCCTCTGACCTCCCTGGCAGTGAAACTGACCACCACACAACTATGGCCACTAGCATCATATATTTATTAATATAAAAGTGACCACCGTGAAAATAACTGACACGTAAACTTTTTGTGGCCATTTTTTTAATAAGAATTTCTGTACTAGTCCACAAAAATATAAAGTGTACAGTCTATTGAAGATAACTACATATACTATATCCTAAACTTTTTTAGTACACACTATCCTTAATGCCATATTCTACAGTAGGAACATAGCAGCTTGCATGACTCCTGATTAAAGAAAGAATCTTCATTTATATATCACCGTCAAGAGTTAGTCGCAATTAACTTTGTGCCACTTTAACATGATGGTTTGAGGGATGTCAATGATGGAGTAACAATTTGAGCTACAGTAAGGCAAAATACAGAAAGCTTTACTGGCATGAAAAAGTTAACATTCTGAGCAAGGGAGTAAAATGTTGATCGTGTTATGTTCAATTACATCGCAGAGGTGGAAAGATGGAATCAGACCACGGAATTAGTTGAAGAGTGTGAGAGAAGATGGATGAGGGGGCTATGGTAGGTTTAGGGCTTATTGGCAGGATGTTCAGTTGAAGGAAAGTCAGCAAATCAGACAATGAAATTTTTAACATGGCAATGAACCAAAGCAATTAAACAGTTCATACCCCTTCAAGAGGGTAGTAGATGAAAAGAAAACAGAAAACCCAGTAAGAAGGAAAACAAGACTAAAAAGGCATGGAAAAATATAGGAAATTGGGAAGAGAAACAAAAAGTGAGGTGCTAAAGATAGCAAGGAATAAGTATACTAGAATCAGATCAGCAGAGCCTGTTTAAATATGACAATGACAGAAGCAAAGGAATAAACCTAAGCTAAACGGACTGCAGAGATAAGGGTAAGGCTCATTAAGAGTGACAATGAAGTGAGTAAAGAACTCAACAAGAGTTTCCAGGAGGTCTATGAACTGGAACTATATTGGTGTCCACGGAGAGGTGATAATTCAGCCAGAGGCAACACTAGACAGAACAAACTAATGTAGGAGAGGTAAAAGAAAACCTAAAAGTACCAGATGAAGCAAAAGCATTAAACCACATTAGGCTGCCCCATGGTTATTGAAGGATGCTGCATGGATTCTGTGTTACCCATTAACTCGAACTTTCAACCTGACACGAGACTGGAGAACTCCAGGATATATGGAAAAAGTCAAATGTTGTTCTATTATTTAAGAAAGTGGACAGGCATGAAGCACTAAATTACAGACCAGTGTCACTAAAAAGAAATAATCAGAAAAAGAATAGTGGAACACTTGGAAAGAGTAAATTTTCTAACAGAAGGAAAATGTGAATTCAGAAATGAAAAATTATGCCTGGCAAACTTAATTGAATTCTACAACATGTCACCAAAATAAGGCAAAAACAATTAAGTCAATAAAAGGGGCATTATGATCACCACATACAAAATTGTGAGAGATATTGCAAAAAACTTTTAAGGAAGAATTTTTTAAACCAGCAATACTGAAAAGAAGGGGAAGGTAAGGTAATTTAAAGGGGTAAGCAACTTTGGACAACTGGCATGCCTTTCAGGATGACATGGACAAAAGTATATGGAATAACACTTGGCAAATGGAATTCAATGTGAATAAGTGCCACATTATAGAATATGCAATAGGAGAAAATGGGCCCCACACAGCCTAAAAATTACATGAAGATTTTAAAGAACTCTGATGAAGAAAGAGATCTAGTGAGAGATCTCGAGGATAGTGAACTGTCAGAGGATCACAAAAAGAACACGCTACGAAATGGCTTCTGGAACTGAAAACCAGAGCTTCGAAGAGGCTAGAGGTGTTAAATATGCCAAAGCTAGAAGATTGAAGAAAAAGAGGGGGATATGATCACTACGTACAAAATAGTAACATGAGTCAACAAAATTAACAAGGATGAATTCCTGAAAATTGTAACTTCAGGAACAGGAGTTCATGAATTCAAGCTAAAGAAACAGTTGCTGAAAAAATTAGAAAGTTCTCTTGTAAACAGGGTGGTAGATGGTTGGAATAAGTTAAGTGTGAAGGCGGTGGAGGTGAAAACCATTGGTAGTTTCAAAATATCATTTGACAGTACTGGGAAGATGGGGCATCGCAAGCATACCTACCATCCTGTAAATACACCTAAGTAATTATAATTACCTAGATATAATTATAATTGTAATTATAGATGCACAATACCTCAAATTCAAGATGTTGAAATTAACTATTGAAGATACTGTATGCTATTGATATAAGTAAATGGGAAGGAATTATTAATGTAAAACTGTAAGAAGACACATGATGATAAAAAAGGCCACTTACTCAAGATAAGATAAGGTCAAGTACTCACATAGTGGTTTGAGAGAAATAATTGAAATGAATATATAGAAATGAGAACAGGTGACAGGATTTCTGGGAGAATTTCCTGAAGTAAAAAGGGAAAGTGGCAATAGAATAAGTAAAGGTCCACAACAATGTACAGAAAATAAAATTGGACAAGAGGGTTTGCTTAGCTAGGCCTGCATGGAAGATTTCCTCTCATGGCTATACAATTAGAGGGAATTTCCAGAATGGAATGAGGCACAAGATAGATATTTAGAATCAATAATACAACACAATACACTGTTACATCAATATCCAATTAAATCTAACTGCCATCAATGAAATTAAACAATCAACATTTTAAAATTAAATAAGATTCTATGTATATCTTTTGCTTTCCATTAGTTTAACAGCAGATTAAATCTACTATTTGCTTAAGAGATCATAAGAATTCAGACAGATGAACTTAACAAAAAGTGCCCACCCAATAAATAACCAGTTAAAAATCCTCCTCAGATACAATTATCCAGCAAAGTAAACTACAGTATATTAGTCTCAGATAAAGATAACATTTCTGAAAATAAAATACTGTTTATTTTAAACTAGCCTTGTTTAGCTTGTGCCAAACAATGTCAGTTTTGAACATGTATAATCAATTAAAAAAAAAGAAAAAGAAAAGTAGCCACGAGGACTATAACCACAGTCCTGTTCAGAACAGTTAAGACTTCTCGAGCAATTTTTTATGTACAATTAGAAAGGGGTAAGTTTACAAGTATATTTGGAACTACCACAAAGAGATAACTGCAAACTTCAAACACAACATTTGCCAAACTGTACATACAATCATAATAACCTTTTGGAATATTACGAAGTAAAATAATGTATCCATACCCTGATTTGCAAAATAGCACAGCTAGGCTGTATGAGATCAATACATAAATTTACACTTGCCTAAAAATAGTTTCCCCAAGTAGAGCTTTCCATATTACTCTAAATCACGAAGGTTGATGGTTGACTGAGGATCAGTACTGGGATCAGAGAGAAGATCATGACCCATTAGTGTCTCTTGATAAAGCTCACTAGTTACACCATCATCCTGGAAAAAACAAGTGTTGAATGTAATGAAATGTCAATTTTTGAGTGAGCCCCAGTGGCTCCCTGAAGCTACCATCTTTAATGAAGGTGCCATCCGTCGTGGCACTCTCTGGTCTACTGGAGACCCAGTGCCAGAACCCGGTACCCCATTTCCCTGGAGGTGCAAAGATCTATTCATTTGTCACCACTGAGGAAAGCACCCAGAAAGTCAGTGAGTCGAGACAAACCACAGCTGGCTGCCTCCGAGATCTGCAGCCTCAAAAACAGCCATAGAATACTATGTAATGTATGTAACTAGTTTACAGTGTTGTAAGATATGTAATTAAACGATTGAAAATGTTATCGAACTAGTGCCCACTTCCCCGCCCTATAGCAGGCAATATATGTCACTTACGATTTTTTTATTATTTTTACCATGATCAAATTACTGAAATTAACAGGTTTAGAAGAAAAAATATTTTTTTTTTTTTGGTATGTGCCTGTGGGTGACAAATGCTAATTAGCCCTGAGCAACATGAGAGTTAAGTATTTACGTGATATTTTTTCCTTCTCTTCTACAGTCATCCGAGTTCTCTTTCTGACCCTCCTCACAGGTACAAACTTCAAGCAGATCTTGTATCTGCTTGAAGAACCCTGGCAAGGCAAGGGCAACACAACTGAGCACCTAGGAATGGGTAATTCCTAAGCGTTTAATGGTGTTGAGCCAATGTGATGGGGGGGCCAGGTTTTGGCCTCTAGTTTTAGGAAGAGTTTTAAAGACTTGCAAGAGACTGGTGTGATTCAAATTGGCTGGAGCAATCTAGGATGTAGTAATAGGGAGCCACTGCTGGAGCTCTCCCAGAATGCATTTTATTGTTTACATTAGATCAATAATTTTAACAAAAGACATAATTTACCTGTAAGAGGGCAGACTGAAGATGTGATGTGGCAGACATTGTTACTGCCGAGGAAGATAACACTACATCATTTGTAAAACTCACAACTTCTCCAGCTGCAAATAAAGAATCAGTTATTAAATTTTATTACAGAGGGCAACTTTTAAAACATCTAAAGAAATAACCATGCTGAGTAAAAAAAGTTCTCCAAATTAAAGAAAAAACTCAGCATTGAATGTAATGAAATGCCATTTTCTGGGTGAAACCTGGAGGCTCCCCAGAGCTTTACCAGGCTGATGGGTATATACTAAACAGTTAATCGATGGAGTTCTATGCCTACCGGGGACCACAAGCCAGAACCTGGCCCCCTTAGAGAGGCACGAGAAGCAATGTCCGTGTAGTTGGAAGCAGTCTATATCTGCCATCTACCAGGTCAGGCACCCAGAAAGGTAGAAATCCCAAAACAAACTACCATTGGTTAACCAATGGTTAACAATTGCAATTGTAGCTTATAGCCGTCAACATGCCCAGGCACAAGAAATAAAAAAAAACAAAAATATTTTGTCTTGAAAGTTTTCATTGTGTTCCTTGATCACGGGAAAAATAATAATAAAAAAAATGTAGGTGGCACATTTTGGCTGCAATAAGGCTGGGAAGAATGGAGAGGAAAAAAAAAAGAAAAAAAAAAAGGCATTAACAGAACAAGAATTGGAGGTCTGCTCTGCCCGAGCTGTCAGGTGGGAGTTGCCACAAAGATATTATTACTTAATTATTTCAATGTCTATGATTGATTTTTTTTTTAGTTTTTTGCAGTAATATTATTCAATAGTGTGTAGTGTGATATATTTATATAATAAAATGTGTGAACCATCGCTATACTCAAAATTATGGTGTGCATACTAGTGATTTATTTATGATGTTCGTAAAACAATAAACACGCAGATTTGCTGTTATTACACTATATACACAGGTTATATATAAGTATCTGCATGTTTTGTTCACCATACTGAACCACTAAGGTGGTATGGTGAGTCAAAATGCAACGAGGAGTGGGCGCCACACCAGACATCCAGCCATTCGGCACCACTCCCTCCATCAACAACACCTCACTTGCCAACATCCTCCTCCCATCATACTGTAATGTTTTTGCTTTTATTCACTATATACAGAAGTTTTATACAAGTATCTACATGTTTTGTTCACCACAATTGTACAACTAGGCTGGTATGATGAGTTCAGACAATAAGAGATATCGTCACACACACAGTCAGCTGGCGGCTGCCTCCCTCACTGTTTCAAGGCCAGACACACTAACATTTCTTTCCCAACAATACTGTTTGTGGTGTTATTACACTATACACACACACACACATTATATACAAGTATCTACATGTTCTATTCACCATAACTGTACAACTAAACTGGTATGGTGCCCAAAGAGCATAGTGGCCATCCTCGACACTGCTAGACAAGTCATGCAGACGACACCACCTCTGTCACCCAAATGGCTCCTCCCAACATAATCCTTTTGCTGTTATTACACTAATACACACACGTTATATGTATGTGTTAACCATAGAGAACCACTGAGCTGGTATGGTGAATGCAGGCAGTAAAAGGTGGCCACAGTGTCAGCAGATGATGCTATCTCCCATCCTCTAAGACCCAGCCAAGTCCGAACCTGAGAAGGAACCAAATGGGACTTCATCCAGTTCACCAAAAATCCGAACCTGGCGAGCTGGGAAAGAACCAAACCCCTGGTCAGCAGACATGCGGACCAGCTGGAAGCCGGTTTGCATGTTGGTTGTTTTATGTTTGTGGAGTTTTTTTGACATTTAAAGGACTAAGATCTTGTGCTAAACCATGCAGTGGTTTGTTTTGATGTGCCTACCTTTCTGGGTACCATCCCTGGTCGATGGCAAGATGATATACTTTAAATGTAAATACTTTAAATGTAAAGTGTTCATGGGCCACTACTCCCTGCACCTCTGTGAGGGGAAGCCAGGTTTTGGCTTGTGGTCCTTGGTAGGAAACAAGAACTCCGTGACTGATGACACTTATCAGTAAGATAGATTCGGGGGGGGGGGAGCTCCGCACAAAAATACGTGAATAAAGCAACAAACGACAGATGGAATTCTATGGAAGTAAATGACACGTAACCGAATGTGAAATTGAGAAACAGGCCGCACTGAACCTATAAATAATGTGAAAAGACATTAAATAACTCGGACAAAGAAAGAGATCTAGAAGTGGTATTGGAGAGAAAACTGTCACTAGAGGATCACACAAAGGTGTTGTGAGAGAAGGCTATGCTATGCTAGCAAATTTAAAAAAAGTGATGAAAAATAAAAATATTGATGAAAAAAAACAAACTGTTCACAACATTCATGATATCCAAATTGGAATATGTAGCAACTGTGTGCGTGCGTGCGTGTGTGTGTGTGTGTGTGTGTGTGTGTGTGTGTGTGTGTGTGTGTGTGTGTGTGTGTGTGTGTTACTCACCTAATTGTGCTTGCGTGGGTTGAACTCTGGCACCTCTGTCATATCTACATTTGAAACTGTGTATGGAGTCAGCCTCCACTACATCACTGCCTAATGCATTCCATCTGTTAACTACTCTGACACTGAAAAAGTTCCTTCTAACGTCCCTGTGGCTCGTGTGGGTACTTAGTTTCTACCTGTGTCCACTTGTTCGCATACCACCAGTGTTGAATAGTTTATCCTTGTCTACCCGGTCGATTCCCCTGAGGATTTTGTAGGTAGTGATCATGTCTCCCCTTCTCTTCTGTCTTCCAGTGTCGTAAGGTGCATTTCCCGCAGCCTTTCCTTATAACTCATGCCTCTTAGTTCTGGGACTAGTCTAGTGGCATATCTTTGAACTTTTTCCAGCTTCGTCTTGTGCTTGACAAGGTACACGGGCTCCATGCTGGGGCCACATACTCCAGGATTGGTCTTACATATGTGGTATACAAGATTCTGAATGATTCCTTACACAGGTTCCTGAAGGCTGTTCTGATGTTAGCCAGCCATGCATATGCCGCAGACATAATTCTTTTTATGTGGGCTTCAGGAGAGGGTTTGGTGTGATATCAACTCCTAGATCTTTCTCTGTCCGTTTCATTAAGTACTTCATCTCCTATTCTGTATCCTGTGTCTGGCCTCCTGTTTCCACCACCTAGTTTCATTACTTTGCATTTACTCGGGTTGAACTTTAGCAGCCATTTGTTGGACCATTCATTCAGTCTGTTTAGGTCATCTTGTAGCCTCCTACTATCAACCTCTCTTTCAATCCTCCTCATAATTTTTGCATCATCAGCAAACACTGAGAGAAATGAGTCTATACACTCTGGGAGATCATTTACATATATCAAACAGTATAGGTCCAAGGGCTGACCCCTGCGGGACTCCACTTGTAACGTCTCGCCAATCTGAGACCTCACCCCTCACATTGACTCATTGTCTCCTGTTGCTTAGGTACTCCTTTATCCAATGGAGTACCTTCCCTTTCACTCTAGCTAGCCTCTTGTGTGGTACTGTATCAAATAGAGAGTGCGAGAGAGAGAGAGTGCGAGAGAGAGAGAGTGCGAGAGAGTGCGAGAGAGAGAGTGCGAGAGAGAGAGAGAGTGCGAGTGCGAGAGAGAGAGAGAGAGTGCGAGTGCGAGAGAGAGTGCGAGTGCGAGAGAGAGAGAGAGTGCGAGTGCGAGAGAGAGAGAGAGTGCGAGTGCGAGAGAGAGAGAGAGAGAGTGCGAGTGCGAGAGAGAGTGCGAGTGCGAGAGAGAGTGCGAGAGAGAGAGAGAGAGAGAGTGCGAGAGAGCGAGAGAGAGAGAGAGTGCGAGTGCGAGAGAGAGAGAGAGTGCGAGAGAGAGAGAGAGTGAGAGAGAGAGTGCGAGAGAGTGAGTGCGAGAGAGTGAGTGCGAGAGAGTGAGTGCGAGAGAGTGAGTGCGAGAGAGAGAGAGAGAGTGCGAGAGAGAGAGAGAGAGTGCGAGAGAGAGAGAGTGCGAGAGAGAGAGAGAGAGTGCGAGTGTGCGTGTGTGTGAGTGCGTGTGTGCGAGTGCGTGTGTGCGTGCGTGTGTGTTTTCGTTCTAGCATTGACATATTTATGCTTTTATCTTTTAGCATAAATATGGCAATTCTAGAAGATTAATAAGAGGAAGACGGGCAATATGATCACCACATTCAAAATAGTGATAGGAATCAACACAACTGACAAGGAGGACTTTTTGAAACCTGCAACTTCAAGAACAAGAAGCCATAGATTCAAGCTGTGGAAACAAACAGTGCCAAAAATATACATACACAAAAGTTTTCCTTTGCAAACATAGTTGTATACATTTTGAACAATTTCAGTGAGAAGGTGATGGATGCTGAAACCATTAATAATTTCAAAGTGTCACATGACAACATTATAGGGAAGATGAGACACAACGAGCATAGTTCTCATCCTGTAACTACACTTAAGTAATTTCACACACACACACAATCTGACTTGTATGCATTAAATGTAAGTAAAACATTACAATATCAAATTTGTATTATATATTATATTCTTTTAATGTTTTGTGTTAGCTTACTGGAATGAGCACAGGATGGATGGCAACCAAATTCCATCATCTTCTTGGTCAAGTTAATCTGTTGCCTTTTTTTAGCATGGTGAGACCGAATAACATTGCCTAAAACATCTGTGCGAGCTGAACCACTGGACACGATAATGTCTTCTGTGGCATCCTTTGCGATGGCAGTCATATCAAGGGAATCCACTTCTCCCACCCTATTTGCACCAGAAACTGTTCCAGTGAGTGTGTCTGCCATACTGACGTCCATACTGTCAATGGCTTCCGCTCCACTTCTTCCCTCCATCACAATAATGGGAGCAATACTATTCCCATCTACAAAGGATATATAAAACAGTGGAGTAAGAAAAAATATCAATCAATAGTAATTGAGTCAATCAAGTACTGCACAATAATGTCATTTGTATTCCAAATATGTCTAGGAAATAATATTTTAAAAGCTGATAACTAAGCAGGAAGATGAAAAATCAATTTATGGATGAAATAATCATACATAATGCAAAATAAGCCAAACAGATTGAGGAGAGAGATATTAGTGTAATAAAATTCCAGTTTCTGAGCAGCACTTCAGTGGCTCCCCCTCCCACTTCATTATCTTAGAAACAGATATGCCATTGTGAATATGAAAGGTTTCTAGTTACTATTTTGACCCAACAGGGACAAAAATCTTTTCAAACCATCTTGTTCCCTAAAAACAAGAGGAAGCTTGTGGGATTTAGAGATCATTACACTACCAAGGTGAACCATATGTAAAAATACAGAAACATATCAAACAATTCAACTTCAGAGAAATGCTAAGCAACATTGAAATTGCTTAACAAAACTCTGAACAAGCTAGTCACTCACTAATCCGAATACCACCATGTTGCTACCAATTTACCAGAGACCCAGTTAAGGTAGCCACCTAGTTCTTGAGCCAAAGCATCCCCTGATGACTTGGAGAAGACATGGAAGAGGGCAGGAACAGAGAATCACCAAGGTGCTAACCAGAAAGGGGCATTTGATAACAACATTTCTTGGCTAGCTCTCTTAGTGCATCCCATTAGCTTCTTCACCCCAGTGCATTGAAGAGGGATTGCACTACAATTTAAACATGTCTTTGAATAAAAGAATGCAGCAAGATGGAAAGGACCTTTCGGGCCTTTGACAACAGGCCCGAATCACCAAAGGGGGGATGAAGTATTAATGTGAAGACCTCGGGAAATACCAGAAGCCTGGATTTGTAATTTGGCTGTGAACATGCTGAGAAAAATGCTGCAATCTCAATGTACATCCTTAAGTCAAGAACTGTAGAAAGAATAATTTAGGCTGCTCTAGTTGTACACCCTACTGACATCAATGAATAGTACAAGGCAGCACAGTACTGATGAGAAACAGTACAAAAAGATAAAATCTCCTTGTGGACCTAAATGCACTTTAAGGTTAAGAGGATATTTTATTACACTATTTCCCCTGGTAAGTTACATGCATTATAGTGGATGTAGACCCCTCACAAGTTTTTTTTTCGTGGGGTGGGGGGGTTGCTTAGGGTCTAACAGGTCGAACAAAATCCTCCATGGAACAAATCTGCCTTGTTCCATATAGTTTGTTCAAGAAAGTTTACACTGTTGATTTTTGGTGCTTCGAAAAAGCATTCTCTATTTATACACTAGGGTTCCAATTATGAAAAATCAGGTTCCAGGTTACAAATGACAAATTTTTTAATTTGTTTTGAAATGCATCCCATTTGTAAACTCCCTGTACATATACATATAAGCAAATGAATCATGATGAAATAAGAAAATTAACTGACCAGCACATATTTCCCCATTGATAAGTTCAATGCTGGAGAGGAGAGTTGCTTGTGCATCACTTGAAGGAGATGCTGAAGAAAAGGTGGAGGATGGCACATTAGTATCTAAACTGACTGAAGATGATGATGCACCACCAGCTGTTAATGGTAGAAGCTGATCCATCATCAGGTCTTTGTCACCCAAGAGTGTTATGTAGTCCAACTGATTTGTGTCTGTAGCTGTAAAGGATAATGCATTAGATGCCTTATAAAAATTTAATTAAATAACAATTACTTAATTAAATAATTAAATGCAATTATTTCTGCTTAAAGCAATATGAAGTGAAATGAAATACCAAATAAATAGTTTGCATAAGAAATACCACTTCCTGGGTGGTGCCTCAGCAGCTCCCTAACCTGTGGCTCTACCCATTCCCCAGACACTGTTGGCTTTGGCCATTGGATGAATTGTACCCACTGGGAACAAAGACCTTTACAAAATCTGTCTTGCCCGTTCAACAAAGTGGAGAACTCATCGAGATCAGAGATTGATGACACAACCAAGGCAAACTGCTCACTTTAACACATGGCATCACAAAACACCCAAGTTCCAGTCAAATTATATTTGGCAATGCTGGGCACCCAAACAACTTTCTGGAACCAATGAAGCAGATGCCACCATACCAAACACAGGATTTGGGGTAGTATAACCCAAACACTTCAAACATAGGCAATCCCTACACCACAGGTAACGACAGGTAACAAAGGTGGGTACTAGGAGCTACTGAGGTATTACCCAGAAATGGAAGTTTCATTAAACCCTACAGTTATATTTTTGGGCAGATACCATAGTAGCTTGTGCTAGCCTCCAAAGGCAAATTGAAGTTTTTACAATAAATTGATTAGTAAAATGGGGTCTTATCTGAGAAAGTCTGAAGCAAATGATCTGGGGAGTAATAGATGAAGATGTTTTGCTGAAATTAAACCAAGGGTGCTGCCAAGGACATGGCAGATTTGGTAGTTATCTTGTGGTTTGTACTGTTAGACCTTCAGAACCACAGGCCCTAATATTGGCAATTGATATATTGCCAAAGAAAGCCAACAAAGTCACATACTTCCTGAATTCATTAAAGCAGGGGTAAGCTTGGTGCTGAAAGTTTCTCAACCTATTGAATTATTTATTGAAGACGGTCAGGCCACCATTTTCTAAAAAGAAAATACTATTCCAGGTAATTCAATTCCAGGCTACAAATGCTCCTAATGCATTGAATATTATCATAAATAGAAGACATAAGCATTCTATCTGTTGTTGATTCTCACCAATTTACACATTTTAATCCGAGAAAAACCAGCGCTGTATGTAATGCAATGCCATTTTCTGGGCGAGACCCAGAGGCTCCCTGGAGCTATCCAGGCTAATATATGGATATATTAGACTTTGCCATCAATGTGCATGGAGTTCTAGGCCTAGCGGGGATTATGAGCCAGAATCTGGCCCCCTCAGAGAAGGGGAGGTTGCCGAGGAGAAACTCTGGATCTCACCCAGAAAATGGTGTTTCATTACATTCAATGCTGATTTTCTTGGGGGGGGGGGCAACCCAAAGACAAAAACCAAACAATAAGAACGTTCTTGAGAGGCGGTCGGCTCTCGCACCTGAACTTCAAGTCGAGACAACTGGCTGCAACCGCCGGGAAACAACACATGATGCACCTCTGGCCTAACCACGTAGCCTCGGGGCCTCGTAGCCTGGTGGATAGCGCGCAGGACTCGTAATTCTGTGGCGCGGGTTCGATTCCCGCACGAGGCAGAAACAAATGGGCAAAGTTTTTCACCCTGAATGCCCCTGTTACCTAGCAGTAAATAGGTACAGTACCTGGGAGTTAGTCAGCTGTCACGGGCTGCTTCCTGGGGGTGGAGGCCTGGTCGAGGACCGGGCCGCGGGGACACTAAAGCCCCGAAATCATCTCAAGTTAACCAACCAAGCATCAACAACCCAAGGAACAGGCGGGAACCCACCCGAGGGACGAGATCGTTTTGACCACGTCCAAGCGAACCCACTCCGAGATGACCCGACCGAGAGCAGGAGAAGAGGCCTGCCCCACCCACCCTGAACCCCCTGAAGGAGGAAGGGGCCACCCAATGACACCACAGGCCACACGAAACGACCCAAAAGGCCCACAAACGTGGGAACAGGCGTGAGCAAACAGAGTGAGCCACACCCCCTCCCATCGCCCCGTCAATGGGACAAACCGCGAAAGGGCCGACACCCCTCACAAGAACCCAACCTTCGAACAGAATGATCACCGCACTGACCAGACGAAAACGGGACCGAAGGCTGTGCCGGCACTGAAACTGGCACCACGACAGGAGGAACAATGAGCCCTGGCACGATCCTGCCGGAAAGACCTGCTTGATGGGATTCTGGGAGTTGTTCTACTCCCCAAGCCTAGTCCGAGGCCAGGCTTGACTTGAGAGTTTGGTTCACCAGGCTGTTGCTTGGAGTGACCCGCAGGCCCACATACCCACCATAACCCGGTTGGTCTGGCACTTCTTGAAGAAAACAATCTAGTTTTATCTTGAAGATGTTCACGGTTGTTCCAGCAACATTTCTTATGCTCGCTGGGAGGATGTTGAACAACCGTGGATCTCTGATGTTTATATAGTGTTCTCTGATTGTGCCTATGGCACCCCTGCACTTCACTGGTTCCATTCAGCCTTTTCTTCGACATCATTCACTCCAGTACTTTTTCATTTTATTGTGCAGATTTGGGACCTGGCCCTCCAGTAATTTCCACGTACAGTATATATTATTTGATATCTCTCTCATCTTCTTTCTAGTGAGTACACTTGACCTTGTGAGTACAAGGACCCTGCCGACGTGCGAGATGAGAAGCAAAAAAAACAGCGACACCGCACGTACAGTCGAGGGCAATGCACCAGACCCTGGAGGGGCCCCAAATGCTTCCACATCCTCCTCAAGCCAGTCCAAGGACAGCTCGAGAAGGGAAAATAATTGCAAGGCCGAAGCCAACAGGCCACGGGCGCACAAGTCCTCAACGACCAACGCAGCCGAAAGGGAAGGGCCCCTGCACATGAAGCTGCACCACACCAACATCCTGAGGAAGGGCAGGAGCAAACAAGCACGCACTGAGGTGCTCAAACTCACCCCACAGGAAAACCTGAACCACCGTATGAGCCTCACACCACTCAAGCGTGCAGGACTGACAGAACGAATGCCACCCTTCCAACAAGAAAAAAGGGCAGTCTGCAAGCCAGGACAACTCCGGAACCTCATAACGAACCCAGTATGGACAGGAAGCTCCATACATGAAAGAAGTAGGGTCCATTACAAAGGCATAATCTGGGTCGCGCAGGAGGTAAGTTGGAGGCCGAAACCTCCGGAAAGACGGGACTGAAGAACCCTCGGGATCACAGAACTCACCCCGGGGAGGGGTAGACACCAAATCCAACTCGTATGAGGAGGGGGGGGGGGGAAGAGAACCCCACTCCCTGTAACACCAAGCCCCGCTCCGAGGGTACAAAAATCCAAGCGGGGTCCAATGGGGTCCAAGGCCCCCAAGCAAGACTGAGTCGAATGTGTCACTGACCCAATAGGCAGCAAGACAGATGCACATCCAGCGAGTGTCACTCTGAGACAAGGGGACAGAGCAACCTTCAAACTCACACAAAGCGAGAGGGAGATCCAGCAGTCGCATCCATTGTACCACAGAGCCCCCCGTGGGGTTTCCCAGGGCCTTTAGTCCTGGTATTCCGCTAAGGAAAGTCCAGGCAGGGATCTGCTAACCGGTGCCCAACACTACCGAGCAAACTGATAAAGCTGAACCCCCGGGGATGTGTACACTCGCGGGGGCCTAGAGGAGGAACACCAAAGTACAACAGGCGTGATCAATCGAAAGCAGACCCCCTACCAGGCAAGAAACACAAAAAATAAAATAAAACCCCGCAAGAGGACAACATACACAGGCGGAACAGAGCCGGCCACTATGAGAGGTGATAACTAGTTGCACAGTACCCTGCGCCCCAATCAGTGACGAAAACTACCCCACTACCCAGAGGCAAACAAGGGAACACAAGAACCCCAGGGAAGGTAACCCTAGGCGCATGCAGCCCAAGTACTGAAGAAATATACACCTGGCTCACACACCCCAGTAGAGACAGCACCACACGATACCACAAGGGCACAGAACTGGAATAATACTGGAGTCAGACACACACGACGGTTGCCAAGCACATCAGCCAAAGAACTGGAGTCTGGGGCTCCCCTTTCCCCCTCCCAGGGAGGGGGGAAGGGGTTGCACAGACAGCGGTGCGAAGATGTCATGCTCGTTTGCTCATTTTCATTTGGGGAGTTCCATCCACTAGTTCGGCTTTCAGTAGCAATGTTAACCAGAATAGGGGTTCGTTTAGGGGCGCTTATCTTTCTGGGTGTCTGACCCTGTCGATGGCAGACATAGAATGCTTCCAACCACACGGGGGTTTCTATAGGTCATTGCTCCTCATGCCTCTCTGATGAGGGAGGGGGGGGGGGGCAGGTTTTGACTCGTGGTTCCCGGTAGGCCTAGAACTCCATGTTGACCAGACCACACACTAGAAGGTGAAGCGACGACGACGTTTCGGTCCGTCCAGGACCATTCTTAAGTCGATTGTGGTTCCAGGACGGATCGAAACGTCGTCGTCCCTTAACCTTCTACTGTGTGGTCTGGACAACATTCTTCAGCCACGTTCTTGTGACTAGAACTTCATGCACATTGATGCCAAAGTCTAATATATCCATATCAGAATGGATAGCTCCGGGGAGCCGCAGAGGCTCTTCCTCCAGAAAATACACCTGTCTTATTTTCTATGTCTCATTTCTTATGTCTTATTATTTGCACAAATTTGTGCAATTTTTGTCCCTAAAAAATACAATGTTCTTTTAATAGTTATCATTAATTATTATAGCACTTATAATGATGAGTAAGTCTAGAAAAGGAACTAATGATTCCAAATTAATTTAAATCTACCTCATGGGGTGATGCTTTCCTCTATCTTTGCCAAATAGTTGCAGCTAATAGGCCAAAACTCCCATCCACAAAGCCAGATGTCTGGATGATTGTTACAGAATGTTGATACTAGCACCATTGTTTTTTTTCTTTTGTTTGCAAAACAAGTATTCTCAATTATTGCACGCGCGCGCGCACACACAAAAAAAATCTCATCGCAAGTGATTTTGGCTGGGTCTGAGCCCTGACCGTGAGAGTAGATCAGGCACTGATTATTAACTGTGTGTCTGTTCACCCAACAGTAAATGGGGTATTGGTTGTAAACTGATTGACTGGTAGTGTTTCAGGGAAACTAATAGGGTAAGGTTCAAGATCAGCTATGGGAAAGGAAAGCTCTAAGCCTTCTAGCATAAGTCAGAAATTGTCTGCTTCTGTACCCACCTGAGTAAAAATCAAGCATTGAATGTAATAAAAACATTCTTTTCTAATGGATCACTTGAAGCTCCCCATTCCAAGGCACCAAATCAAGAAATTGCTTGAAGGAAATTTAAAAGCCAGAGGAAAATAAAAAGAAAAGAGGGGAAGGAAAGTGAGTTTGTGTAGCCCACCAAAAAATGGTGCTTCATTACATTCAATGTTTGACTTTTGGGAGAACTCCCTAAGTAGTTTCACATTACTAACTTACAATGTTGCCTTAGTGGAGGTGGCCAGCTTTTCTGAAATGGAAACAAAAGATGAATTACAGAAAAGAAGGATTGGGTTTACCAGTAGGAGAAAATGGTAAAAGAAAGCCTGAAGCAGAAGGGACTCCTTTCGTATCCAACATGGGCAATAGAGCTGTGCAGCCAGTCTCAAATCCAAGAGTAGAAGAATTCTGCAAATTCAACTTTAACAAACTGATTAACTAGGAACGAATAAACCAAGATCTTGAACAAAATATGTCCTGGGAAGAACGGCTAGTTGATGCAAACTTAAACCAGTGCTTGGAGAAAATAGGCACAGTAGCACTAAAAATAAGTAAAAGTCACATACCACTAAGAAAAAAGCAAGCATTGAATGTAATGAAATGCCAATTTTTGGGTGAGCTCCAGTGGCTCCTTGAAGCTACTATCTCTGAAGTAAATGCCATCAGTCACAGATTCTCTAGCCTACTGAGGACCCAGCACCTGAAACTGGTTCCCTCACAAAGCCGTGGCATTTATATATTAAGTTATACAATCATGCCACCACCAAGGAAGGCACACAATACATCTGTGAGACAAAAATAAACCACAGCTGGCTCTGAGACCTGTAGGGTCAAAACCAGCCGTAAATCTCCTCAAACTATGAAAACAAATTATTCAAACAAGTTCTTTATAAATGTGACACCAACATCGAACCATATATCAGATGTCACTCGAACCCCACTGGATTTTGAAGTAGCCATAGACAGCATGCTCATGAACTCTGCACCAGGGCCAGGCTCTTGGAATTCTATATTCATCAAGAACAGCGTTGAATGTAATGAAATGACATCATCTGGGTTGAGCCTCGGAGACTCCCTATTGCTAACTCACTGATATTCTAACGCATCCTCCGAATAGACAGTACGTTTTAATACTAAATGTAATAAGTACATTTCTTGACTGTCCTGCATAGTACATAATTACACTTATTGTGCTGTTACATTTATCTCCATATATTCTCATTTTCTGTTAAGACACTCAAAATTTTAGGATGAAGTTTTCATGTTCAATTCTATAAACACAAGTTTTAAATATAAAGAATTTCTTTTTCAGTTTTATTAAACAATAGAGATTTTATACAAAATTTGAAAATATCCTGAGTTACTTTATAATTTATTGAAAGATTTTAGTTTTGTTTTATTAGTTGTATAAAACTGTAATATTAATATGTATAGTTATATGTTAAGTACTAATTGTAATTAAGAAGCAATAAAATGCTTGTCCTCATACACTAAGAAGGTTAGGTCAGGTTGTGGTTTTCTATACAGCTTTTCAGGTAAACTCTAATATTCACAATATTTTGGTGTGATTCTGGCGATTAAGTGTATTTATGTACTAAGCCTGTAGTCAGGATTGTACTTATTACATTAAGTATTAAAACATGCTGTCTATTTGGAGGATGGGCTGGATGGTCTAGATTAATATACCAAATATACAGCCCATCCTCCGAATAGACAGTACATTTTAATACTAAATGTAATAAGTACAATCCTGACTACAGGCTTAGTGCATGGATCCTAAATGCACTAGAAAGTGATGTGGTGGAGGCTGACTCCATACACAGTTTCAAATGTAGATATGACAGAACCCAGTAGGCTCAGGAATCCATACATCAGTTGATTGACAGTTGAGAGGCAGGACCAAAAAGCCAGAGCTCAACCCCCGCAAGAACAACTAGGCGAGTACAGGTTCTGAACTGGCTAAGAAAACAAATACTGTAACTATCAGCAGTGACCAAGGGAAATAAAACTTCCTGGTGCACAGGAAAAACCTCTACTAAGCAGGGAACTATTCTCTATTGGAATTTCAACCTTGAAACAACATATTTGGCAATATTGACTAAGCTATCAGCATCACTGTTTCCCACACGAGATGAAGACAGTGCCAACACAGTAACCTTAGACAAAAGTACTCGATTGGTCATTGCACATAACATTTGAGGCCTGGAAAAAGGGCCTGAAACAATATTAAAGTGAGGTCTCGATTCCAGGGCACTCAAACAGCCTAGCAAAACCGCCAAGAAGCATATTTGCACATGGATCCTAAACACACAAGTGAGACTGCCTTAAGGATAACCAAAGTTACATATTTGAAAGGTAGATAGGTCTATCAGCAACAGTTTGTTGACACAAGGGATATCAGGAAACAAGTGGCTAGGGTTGTCACTTAGTGGCAGTGCCTTACTATTTCAGAAAGCAGCTTGGCACTTGAATGTTGCTAACCATCTTTTGAGGCAATTTCAATGTTTTTGACACGTATCATAGTGGGCAGTTTACTTTGGTTGTACAGCTGATGTTTGATCTTCATGAGCTCCCCACCCCACTGAGGTAGGCACAGAAGTTATCCAATAACTAACTATAGGACAGTGTACATAGATGATCAGTCACAGACTAGGAAGCTTATCAAGTAACAAACCAGAAAATAAAAAACCAGTGTCGAATGTAATGAAACGCCATTTTTTGGGCGAGATCCGGAGGCTCCCCAGAGCTTATCCAGGCTGATTTGGATATATTAGACTTTGGCATCAGTGTGAATGGAGTTCTTAGGTCTACCAGGGACCACAAGCCAGAACTTGGCCCCATCAGAAAGGCATGAGGAGCAATGGCCTATAGAATTGCACATGTGATTTGCAGCATTCTATGTCTGCCTTTGACTGGGTCAGGCACCCAGGAAGGTAAAGCATCCCAAACCAAATCTCTATTCTGGTAGAAAGTACTACTGAAAGTCAAACGAGTGGACAGAACTTCCCAAAAACAAACAAGCATGACGTCACCA